ATAAATAGGAAGATCGATAAATATTCATTATTCAAATTTCGATTTTTATTTCAACTAGAAAAATTAAGATAAACTTGATTAGTTACTTGGCTTCATCTACAGTATAGGAAAAAAAGAAAATATATATATATTCAATTGTTTATCTATTTAGTGAGAATATCATATTATTACACTAAAAAGTAAAATAGTATCTCAAAATAAATTAGAAATTCAATTCATATAAGTGATCAATAACTGCTTCTCATAGATACATTAATATTTCAAGCAAATTATACAAAAAATATATATTGTTTTTTTTTTTTTTTTTATCAACTAAAGAAAATAATTATTTCAAATATCTTTATCAACACATCTTCATATTTCTTATGATGATTACTATGACAGATGTACTAGAAAGCATTATTTAAAACCATAGTTGCGTTTTAAAATAAGACATACCCTTATACAGCATTTATTATAGGTTAACTAAGTGAACACGCAAAAAAAAAAGGAAAGGTAAAAAAAATAAGAGTAATGCATGATTGCTGCTGAATAAATGCAAGGACAATAGATACGTGAATTACTATTCTAATTCTGTCATTTCTAACCAATAGATTTATAAATATTGGAAACGAATAAAACGAATTATTTTTGAAATAAATAAAAAAAAAAAGAAGTGACAACGACAGCAATTATTAACAGACGAATGATGATTACTAAGTGTTTTCCTTTTCTCATTGGTTCACTATTTTATATAACACATTTATGCATTTTATTAAAAATTTTATTTCTTTTATTTCTTATTGATTCTAATGAATAAAGATATTAATTTTAGATAATAGTTAAACTTATTTTAAGCAATATGAAATGAAATGAGTTTTAATAAAGGTCTGTACTTAGTTAATACATTAAGATAATGGTATTATGTTTTTTTTGTATACTTCAAGCAGCCTTATTAATTTGACACATTTCTTCGGAATAAACTTTAAACATGACATCATCGAGTTACATGCTAGAACGTGAACTTCTTGGTTCAGCACGAACTATAATTGATGCACATTCAAATGCTACACTTACTCAACCAACTCAACTTAATAGTTTCCGAGGATCATATGGAATATCCAGTCAGTTACCATATACGACTACAGTAGCACCTTATCATCACCTTGGATACGGAAATACATCTACAGATAATTATGAATCAAAAAAAGCTTTAGGAGATGTAAATATATCTTTTATTATAAAATAAAATTCATTGAATTAATATATTTAGCTACAAGATCAAATTCGTGTATTGAAAAAGGATTTAGAAAAAAAAGATGGACTTATTCAAGAATTAACGTCCGTCAGGTAATTTGTTGAAAACAAAAATTTTATTTAACTAAGATGTTCTTCTTTTTTTTTTTTCTTCTTAAAAGAGATTCAAATAAACATGTTCGTTTCGAATCAGATAGATATGAATCATTAATTGGTCAAGATCGAACATCACTTGACGCAGCTCGACGTGAACTTGATCAATATCGAATAAAAGTCGAAGGATTAACACAAGATGTAATTGATGTTTTTTTCTGAAAATTTTGAATTTATTTTCTTTTAAAAATTTAGTTACGTGAAATGACAATCAAATCATCTGCTAAAGATGAACGTATAAATGAATTAAAACATGAAATTGAATCATTGAAAAAAGAACAAGATTTAGTTGTTCATGCTAATAATCAATTACGTTTACGTGTACGTGAACTTGAATCAAATGTTACTTCATATGATTCAGTTGCTAATAAATCATCTTTGACAATATCATCATTACAAAAAGATATTAAAGAAAAACAAGATCAAATTCTTGAATTACAATCACGTATAAGGTAAATAAGAAAATATTCATTTTTATAATTTTCATTGAAAAATGTTTTTTATTTTAGAACACATATGGAAGAACGAGAAACAAATGAAAGAAAAACAGATAATTTAAGTAAAAAATTACAAGAATTATTCTCACAATTGGGTGTTACACTTGGAGCAGATTACGGACAACCAAATACAGCTGCATTTGATAAAATTATGACTAGAGTAAGAATAACCGTTTTGTTTTGTTTAATATTTCGTCATACTTCTCGAAAACATGAGATATATTTCATAGAAAAAATCTTTGAAAGAACAAAAGTTTACAAAGGAACAAATTATTTGATGAATCAATATTTGCTGTACAAGTTCAAGTTGTATAATTGACCTTAATAGATCTATGCGATATATAAAAAGGATTATTCTGATTGACTTCTGGTCTTTTTCACAAAGAGGCCTCTTTACATAACTTAAGATCTTCAGAGCAAATTTTGCTTTGCATAATCTTACAAATAAAGTACTTTCAAAGTCTATTGTCGTCAAGTATTGATTCTTTCATTGAGTTAAAAAAATTTTTTTTGTTGAAATCTTAAGAATCTCAAATATCAGTGTAAATCAATAGGCGAAATCGATACCGCTACTACAACGAAAAAAAACAGATATTAATGTTAGAAAGAATTTCTTAAGATCTTTGTTTAAAAATATTCTTATCTTGTTTCTTATCAATGCATTCTCAAGGGTCTAGAAATAGGAAATTCAACAGTAATTTAGGTAGAATTCGAGGCATTCTATAATTAGTGTAGCTCAATTTCTATTGATACTATCTTACTGAATTAGTTACAAAGATTGAAAATTCCTCTTGATTTTCAATTTTCGATTTCTGTACAATACGTGCATCTTTGAGCTTCGTATTATTTTTATAATTAATTGAAATCTCGTTTTTTAATGTTAAATGTATTTTTAATATTCCTGATTCACATAGAAAACTAATTGTTTTGTTTTTCATCAAGGTTGCTGATATTAATGCTGAAAATACATTGTTAAAAGGTAAAATGATTAAATTAGAAGAAATAAATCGATTATTAGAAAATGAATCCCAAGCAAATCGTTCAACAGTTCAACAAATGTCAAATCAATTATACTCATTTGAACATAATAATGTTAACCATCGTCTACAAATAGATTCAATTAAAGCTGAACGTGATGCTGCACTTAATGATAAAGAAACAATAAAAAAAGAACTTGAAACAGTTAAATCACGTTTGGATTCTGTGCAAAAAGCTTGGCAAAATGCTCGTGGTGAATTAGATCAACGTGAAAATAGATTTTCATCAAATGAATTGCATTTAAAACAAATAGAAAATGATTTACTTTATACAAAATCATGTTTTGATGCATTTAAACAGCAAATTAGTCAATTATTATCAGATGGTTATGTTAAAGTTGAACCAAAAGAAGATGAAATTAAAGAAAAAATTCATTTATTAATGCAATCAAGTAAAGATCGAGGAATTGTAAGTTCGATTGAATTTCAATTAAATATATTATTAATTTTTTTCTTTATAAGATTATAACAAATTTACAAAATCAAAAAGAACAATTATCAAAACAATTACAAGAACAAATTGAATTAAATAAAGACGAAGACAAAAAACGACGTCACACTGAATCCCATATATTGGAATTAGAACAAAAAGTAAAAACACTTGATAATAATTATACAACAACAGAAGTCTATCGAGAAAATCTCAAACATGATAAAGCTAAATTTCTTCATTTTCTTGAGCATCTAGCTTCAATAATGAAAATTCAAAATGTTTCAAATGAACTTGGTTATGAATTAAATCCTGATGTTATTTTAACACGTGCAGAACAATTAATGAAATTAGAAAATGATTCTATTGTTGATCAAAAAACTTCAATTTATAGTTTACAAAGAAAAATTAAACAATTAAAAGAACAAATCGAAAATAAAGATTTACATTTAGATTTATTAAGAAAGAAAGTTATTAGTTTAGAAGAAGGACGTACAGCTAAAACAGATTTAGAACGTGAAATTGATGATCATGTTATATTATCAAGAAAAATGAAAGCTAAAGTTGAAAGTTTAACTCAACAAGTTAATGATTTAAAAAATGAAAATACGCAATTAAAAGCACAAATAACGGATGTTCATACACTTAAAGTATTACAACTATTTATTTCATTTTAAAAGAAATTCATTGATTTTTAAATATTTTCTTTTTTCAGAGTCGATTAGCTGAACGAGAAAAAGAAGTTCGTCGCCTTTTAGAAGATATTAATAAATTAGAAGGTACACGTGATAGACAAGCTGTTAAAATTTCAACATTACAAGACAGAGTACATTCTGTTGATGATGAAGCTAATCGAACATTACTTTCATCTGATAATGCTGTACGAGCTCTATCAAATGAATTAAGATTCTTAAAAGGTTCACTTGAACAACTTACTGAACGAGAGCGACGCGTAAGAAACGAAAAAAATAAAAATAAAACAATTTTTTTTATCATTATTACAACACTTTTATTTTTTAGCTACTTGATTTCCGTGCCTTAATAGCTCGTATGCTTGGCTTAGATGCTAAAACATTAGCTGTACCAGATTATGAAATAACAGCTCGATTAGAACGTCTTCTTACTGTTGTTCAACCAACTATGGCAATTCCTGTTGTTCAAGTACCTAATTCAACAACAAAATCAACAAGTATCACTCAACAACATCAATCTCCTTATCATAATTATCATCATCACCAAAATACTCATTCAGCGCATGGACGTCGTCGCAGTCCAAGTCCGATATCTAGAAGAACAGAAAGCTATCATCGTGCACGATCACTTTCACCACTACATGTTGGAATCGACCCACGAACATATTAACTATTTTATAATAATTAATCTTCTTTTCGTTTGTCAGGCTTCTTTGTGTGTATATCAAAGATGAGAAAATGTTGAATTTGCTTTTATAAGTTTCTCTGAATAACTCAATTCGTATTTTTTTTAATCGTTAACTTGTAATCAAAATTATGTTTTACTTTAGAAATCATTTAGATTCTTTAGTAAAATAATTATACCAAAGTTTTGTTTTGAAATATAAAAACCGTAATATAACACCGCTCATATATAAAAAAAGAACTTTCGTAAAAATAAATTCGTTGCTTGGATTCAATTTAAAAAAAGTTTCAATTTTTGTTCAATTTTTCGTTTTTCTCGATCCATCATAAGGCCATGTTGTTGAAGATAAGGACGTTCTTCATTAGCTTTCGAAAATATTGGTTTATCAATCGAAGATCTTTCATTAAATGAGTTTGTTTGATTTAATGATAAACGCTTTTGATGAATTAATGTCATAAGACCGACTGTCGCTCTGCTTGTACCGACCGAGATCGAACGTTCTAGATCAAGTTTCGTTTTTGGTAATATTGGAGCCGTTGGATTGATATTAGTAGTAGATGATAAATTTCCTGTTTGAACTTGCGATGGATCATGATTTTCATTGGGTACTGAAGATTGACCAAGTGGAGATGAGAAAGCAATTCGAGCAAGATCACGATTAAGACGCATTAAATCACGCTCAATATCACGTTCATTATTTTCTAAACGTTGTAATTCTTGTCTAAATATAAATGAACTATTGGAGCAACTTTCTAATGAAAATTTCTGAATTGTAAGTTGACTGAAAGATCAATCTATTCAATTATTTGAAAAAAAGACTTTTCGAAATAATCAGGATAAATCATGCGATTACCTAATCACGTTACATGTAATTTAGTCAAAAAAAACGGTTTATACAACATCATTTTCAAAGATGTGCATTGCGTCTAAAGTCTTCTCGACCAACGTTCCTACCGCCTCCGTTTTTCTTTTTGGACACGCGTTGATCGATCACATCTAACCGTACTGAAAATATTCTGCTCTCGCCAAATTTTTTCTTGTATTTATTACTCTATCGTCAAAAGCAAAAGTTTAAGTTAAACTAGTTTTTCAGTATTTTTTTTTTATATTAAGAGGTATAGATCTGATTCAAATGGTAATATAGATAGTACGAGAGCCCAGCTACATGTTGTATTATAGAACGCCACTCTGTCTGTTTATATAGATTTTTCATAATTAAAATAATTTTTTTCTATCAAACAATAGGTTTAAGTGCCTTTCAGTATTTTGCATTTCCTAACCAAGAGAGTTTCCCTAAATTGAAAAATATATATTAATCGATAGGGAATTTCACGCTCTATCAGTTAATAGAAAAAGATTTTTTCCCAGAGTCGATCTTCACCTTCAAAACTTGGTTTTAGTCAGAATAGTCAACAAAAGTGGAAAAATTGAATTACCTCCAACAAACTCCCTCTTATTACAATGTTTTATACACCGTTAGAAAGAGCGTTCAAAACTGGACAAATATTGTATTTGTAGTTCGAATATCACTGATTTTTCACATCCACCTTATTGAAATAATGTTTTGAGAAACACAGTTAGCTAGTCTTTTTTTTTTTAATTATTTTGACAGGAGAAAAATGCTGACTATTCTCATTAAAACCAAGTTTTGAAGGTGAAGATCGACTCTGGGAAAAACTCTTTTTCTATAAACTGATAGAGCGTGAAATTCTCTATCGATTGATATATATTTTTCAATTTAGGAAAACTCTCTTAGTTAGAAAATGCAAAATACTGAAAGGCACCTAAACCTATTATTTGATAGAAAAAAATTATTTGAATTATGAAAAATCTATATAAACAGACAGAGTCGCGTTCTATAATACATCATGTAGCCGGGCTCTCGTACTATCTATATTACCATTTGAATCAGATCCATACCTCTTAATATGAAAAAAAAATACTGAAAAACTAATTTGACTTAAACTTTTGGCTTTGACTATATATTTCTTAGAAAGAAAAGTGCTTCATTTGTGACCGTATACTTAAGAACAACAGCATAAAGTTAAAAATGCGACCAAAATAATATTTAATTAGATGAAAAGTAAACGGACACATGTATACTGATGGATAATTCGTTTTCATCTTAACTTATTCGGTAGCTATATTTGCGTGCATATAACTTTAAGGCGAAATAAAGTATTATGTCCGTCATCATAAAATTCACTAAGTTTAAAGTTAGGTCAATTTATTATCAAAATAATGGTTACTTAAAATTCATTATTATGTAGTTTATAAATGTGAAAAATGAATATATAATGAAGTAATGCAACAAACGATATCTCAGCAAGAATGAGTCTGTTAGGAACTAAATCTCTTCTCTTCCCCTTTCAGCGTTTTATGCATATTACTTTTTAAAAATTCCTCGCAATACAGTTTAATAGCTGTTATGATTAAGAAATGACCGTCCGGCGAACAGATAAGGAGAGGGGCCTAACGGAAGTAACCACGTTCTAAATTTTCTTTAGTGGCACGGACGGTGTACACTTCGAACCAGTATATAGTTTGATATAAAAAACTTCTCAATAAAAATCATTTTATTCTACTTACGATAGTGCGGCTATAGAAAAAAACTCAGATCCACAGCCTCTATTCTTAAAAGAAATCACTAGAAAGTAAATCCTGTAGCACACGGCAACCAAACAATTCAATACGATAAAACAATTCGAATCTTATAATGAAAATAATGACAACGTTTCATACTCATTTGAAGACTCACGTGAATTTAGACAAGAAATTTTCTACTAACGTTCTATAAGATCGATATTCTGTATAAAGTCAAATGGTACTGATACCGAAGGGGAAGGAATGAGTTCTTAGGAAAAAAATTCTCCTGAGTAAAAAACTTAGAATGCAAATGAAAAAATAGATATTCTTTCGTTGATTTAAGAAGTTTATCTCTTAGTTAAAGGTTCATTGAAATAGTCTTCCTTACTTGCGTTGCCAATTTAAACCTCTTGGTCCAGTTAAATCACGTTCAAGCTTTCTTTCATAAACTTTATTTGTATTAATTCTTTTCATATCCGCATGAGCAACTTGCTTCATACTTGGTACAGCTTTTTCCAGTCGATCTTTAACTCGACCTAAATCTTCATAATATTGATCACGTTTTCTGGTATTATTAAATAAATTAAATTGATATTTTTGATGTTGATATTCTTCTAACCCAATATTTTCCTTTTTAATAATAATTTTTGGTGGACTATTCAATGTATTTTCATCGAAAAACTTATTGCCTGGCATAGTTGTCGTCTCTACAGCGTCGTTTCTTCGTTTGATTTGATTATAACTTTTTCTCTTTGTCGTTTTTTTTTTCATTATATTTTCTTCCAATTTCTTATTTTTAATTTACTCACTTGAACTGCTTTTGATTCCGCCGCCCAAAACTAACAATCAAAAAAACTCAATCATCGATCCATCTTCCAAGCAAGTCAAAGAAACAATAATATCGTCGACTCTATCAATAAAATGAATATTGACACAACCGACGTCATTAATGAAAAAAGAAAATTCAATAATTCGGTTAAGAGTCAAGCTGCGTCAACGTCCGACTGTGTTGTTCACATATCTACACTATATAAATAAGGCATATGTTTGTTTATATTGTCATAACAATATTTTCACTAAGAGTTTCAAACATGGAAAATGAATATACTTTTAATTATGATGAAGTCAAACGAATATTTGAAAGTGTTCCACAAACAAATTCAACAAAGAAAAAAACTAAATCTATTCCCTATAAAACTCGTTTTCAAGCTCGTACAAAACTACCCAGTATTATTAAAAATGATGAACATTTAATTCAAACTCGTTCAAATACAAATTCATTGATGACAAGTCAATTAAATCAAACATCAAGAACAATTTCATTTACTTTACAAAGTATTCGTGTTTATCAAATAATGCAAATTGAACAATTTTGCTTTCATACACAGCACGATTTTTATGTAATATCAAATATTATACAATAGAAATCATCGTTCATTCGTATTTTATTTTTGTTGTTAATGGATAGTCGCTGTATTGTTAATTCACCAGCTGATTATTTGAAAACTTTTCTTGAATATTGTGTAATACAATAAGAATAGCATAAATTGTTCGAAGAAGTTTTTCATTTTCATTTAATCCTAATAAAGGTTTATTTGCAATAATTATTGTTGATGATTTGAAAGGATTTATTAAATAAATAAGATGTTTTCGAAATTTTTCTAATTGATTTTCTAATAATTTTTGATAGTTTTCATCGAAAATTCTACATTGAATGATGATTAATAAACCAGAAAGTTCATCAATTTTCGATGTTAAATAAGAAAATTTAGAATGAAATGCAAATGAATGTTCTTGATGATAAAGATAATTATCAATAAACATCAAATAAGTGTTTAATTTTTTACAAACATACGATACATTTAATGTTGTTGATGATGAAATTATTCGAAAATGATCAGTACCCATTAACCAAATGAATAATGATTCGTCAGATGATATGTATAAACCACGCGGATACTGATCATTAATTATCATACTGAAAAATAAATGCAATATCATTGAAACTAGGTTACTTTTGTGATTATGAAAAGATTTCTCTCGTAAATCTTGACAAAGTCCCTATCATTTCACTCGGATAAAAGTGACAGCATAGTTCGATATAACATTTCGTAAACAAATGTGTATTCGGCAGAATGACGTTCCTTGATAACTTTAAATTTATTGATAGAAAGACTAAGAACTTAGCAAATGCTTGTTGATTCGACATACAATGTGATTTAAAAGACCTTTTTAAAAATTCTACAATATTATTGAACAAAAATAGACACAATATATCAAATCTTATTAACAGAGGAAACACAAAATTCTGATCATTAGTTTTAGTTTTTGCAGTATCTCAGAAACTCTTACACAGACTAAAATGAGTAAATATTAACACCGAAAGCTTGAGACCATATGGTTAGTTCAACAGAATTTGTTTTATTTTTCAAAGAACGATTGATTACTCTGAAAAAAAAAACTAAGCCAGCCTCTATTTTCACAGTTAGCAAGGGTACAACATTTCGTTCCTAGCTAACCAACTGCGGGATCTCCTTTTTCTAATCTCCATTACGGTTTCATCGGCACCGGAACTGTTTTTCAGTTCGTTACGTAAAGACCATATGCATTAAAAACAATTGAACACTTGTTACAAAGTTCATGCGTATACTTTCTCTTATAGTTTTGAAATTTCGATGGTTTTTTTGTCCACAGCATCGCTGTATTATAATATATTTGAAATAGAAATAGATCAGTGGCTATTGATGAATGAAAGAATCAATTCCTAAACAGGAATTCTATTTTTTTTATTAAAACAAAATTTTGTGGAACACGCTAAGATATACTTGGTTTCAATTCCGATAGAAATTATTTTTGTTGCCAACGAGACCAGAACTATTTTACGGTTTCCTATTTCGACCTCACAGCTTTTGCATCTATTGAATATATTTTCAAGGGGTTCAAGAAAAATCAACAGAAATTTGGTCTTAAAACTTTCAACCCACTGATTACTTTCTATATTGAAATACAATAACGGAAAATAGTGCTCTTTTATGATGGTTTAAAGGCAATGAAAAATATCACAGAAAGCTCTTGAAAAGTTTTAGATTTAATTGAATCTTAAAAATAAACATCTAAAAGTAACATAATTATATTGTTATTCAACAAAATGATACATAGAAAAGAAATCTTGCAAAATGTAAAGAGTTTCATAGAGATTTTTGAAATATTTGAGTCAGAGGTAATAAATTAAAATATATCACCGACTTTTGGGAATCATTTGTAGCCTATTCAAGCTGTCTTAATGTTACAACAATCGTGAAGTTCGCTATTTTTCTTTCAGATTATCAAACCACAAATTCAATCAAGTCGTTAATATAATGTTTCTTCGATTCTTTGAATAAAATGTAAGTTTTTAATGAAGTTTCAGACAACTGCTGACAAAGTATATCCAATAATTTGTTTTCAATTCAGAAAACGCATAAAAATGGTACTTGAAATTTCGTCAGTCAATGAAGAGATATGATTGAAAAAGTTTTATTATTTCGAATTCATGTAAAATTTAATTACAGAGTGTTGCAAAAGTTCGTCTATTTAAACAAAACATGAATAAGCGATTTGCATGAAGTTTCTATGACGTTCTTCGATGTTCTATCAAGCTATATTCAACATAATTTAGATAAAATGCCAATGTTGATCAGCATTAGAATCGAAACAATTTTATTGATGACGGAATTTCAGTTACCAACAAATGTATAACGAACTATACTAGTCGACTTTGACTCAGAAACAGCAAGCAAAGATGATATTAAGAGGGTGTCGAAACACTTTTTCAAAACTAGCGATGCACCAAATTGAAACACATATCCAAATCGTCTAAGAGTTTGAGTTTGGTTTTGGATTTGGATTCGGGACTAAAAATCACCAATGTCTAGACAACTTTGTCCCTAGCATGAGTATGCATAGAGGTGATTATTTTAGATGAGCTTTACACTCACTGTAGTTAGCATTTCTCGAATTCTTTAAATGAAAACATAAAATATAACGTCTACAAGATAACTATTAGAAATCAGGTTAGATTACCAAGAGGAATCGATAAGAAAAATACAATGAAATTCTATGTAAGATTTCGTTTGTCAAACATTTGAAAAACAGTGGACTTCGAATATGCTTTAACTCTGAGCATTTGAAAGAACCAGTGCGAATCAAAGTATCCGAAACTAAATCATAAAGAGAATTGAATAAAAATGATTGACAGCTCACGTGTGTAATTTGAATTGTTCAAGAGATCTCAACGTTCTTTTTTTTCCAAGAACTTATGGAATACCCTGTATATTCAATACAAAGAAACCAATGTACTATTAGGAGATTATCAATAAATTAAAGTTCTTTCATTCTGATTTTTATGGACCCTATAGAAATAATTACAATATCGAAGATTAAAAGAAATTTGATTTGTCACCCACTGATTGTAATCGATCATTGAATTCGCTAATATTTCTAAATGTTTTTTAGTAAATTTTTCTGCTTTTATATATTGACCTTGATATTGTATAATAATATTTTGCACAAGCTTATTTATTAATAATTCAAGTTGATTATCGTTAGATAACAATTGAAACGAATAATTATTTAGATTTCGAATAGCTACAATAGAAAATAATTCAATAGCCGAATGTGAGAAATTAATTGAAAATTTATATAAATCTTCGAAATTATTATTATAACGAGATATGGATGGTAATGTATGAATATCAACTTGATAATAATCCATAATACATGGCCATAGTATCATTTTAAATTTCGTATAACATTCTCCATCCAATGGTTGGAAACTGTGAAGAAAGAAAAAAAAAGTTAAGCAAGTCCAGACTTCTGCACGATTACAACTTATCCAACTCGATCAGTTTTTACAGTATTCGGTTCCAAACTGACCTGATAGTCGACAAAGTGTTTCAATCATTGTATTTTTCCAAACTTCTCTCAAAACTATTTGTTTTCGTCGGATAGACAAATAGCAGCAACAAAAAAAAAACATGGGACACTGCACAACAGAACATGTTAATAATCAAGCAATTTATTACTGGGCGACTATCCTTTTAAGTTAAAAATTCTTTAAATATGAGCGAAGATCTACTCACTTTTTATTGATGACGCTAGAATCAAAAGTAATACTAAGGCTAAAAATCGTAATTTTCGTAACTACAGTGAACGTCAAAAGTCTCGCACCACTTTTTTGTTTTGGTTCGCATTTCAAAAATACATGACATAAATTTCAATTTCTTTTTACCTTACGATAGCGGAGCTCGAGTACTATATGTATGCGTATGTTTGAAATGAATAACCCTTGAATCGAAAACACAGAAAAAAAAACAAACTTCAGTGCTACGACAAAAACTACCCAAAAAAAGACAAATTAGTACGATTGTTATCAGCTATAGAAGTTTCACTAAAGTTGGAGTAATACGAAAATCGAGTAAGATTTTGTTTGATATTTTTACATGAGTCGGTAGCTCTCATCGAGCTCTACAAAACTGTCTATATTAAAATTTTTTAGAACCCTTTTCTGGAACAAAAAATTACAATAAAATTGTATTTTCATGCTTTTCTGCAATAAAAAAATTCTCGATTTTTCATACAGAACGAATAAAACATGCGATTATTTTGTAATCTTTTTATATCAGAAAAGGTTATAAAAAAAATTTAATATAGACAATTTCGTAGAGCTCGTCGAGAGCTACCGACTCATGTACAAATATCAAACAAAAACTTATTCGATTTTCGCCTTACGAGGATCTTACTCAAAATCATAATAGCCATATCAGCTTGTTTTCTTTTATGTAGCTTTTGTCGTAGCACTGAAGTTTGTTGTATTTCTTGCATTTCAAATTGAAAGATTATTCATTTCAAACATATAGATACATATAGTACTCGAGCTCCGCTATTCGAAAGTAAAAAGAAATTTGAATCTATGTCGTGTATTTTTGAAATGCAAACCAAAACAAAAAAGTGGTGTGAAACTTTTGACGTCCACTGTAGTATATAGGATCCAAAACGGTTAATTATTTTTTTTTTAATAACTTATCATTATAACAAGACAATAGTGTTTTATTTTTACGTTGAAACGTTTAATGTGTTTCAACAACCACAAAAAATACATATGAACAATACTTCGGGTTGAAGTTCTATTGTTCGATTTTTCTGTATATACTTTGCGCTAGATGAAAAATCAATAAATGGTCATAACCCTTGAAAGAAGCCCCATTAGTCCAAACTCTCTTTGAATAATATATCTAACATATGGACCGAATATCCTTGAAAACAACGTGAATCAGTTGGGAACCTTCTCTCGTTCACGGATTTCAAAAAAGAAACATTAGTCAACCTAGTTTGCCTTGCAGACTTCACTTTTACATACAACCAGGTCGAACAAAAGGTGGCTCATTGACAACTTCGTTTCTTACAGACATATTGTGAAACTTAATGTTATGTAATTACTCGAAGAAATCATCTTCTCAGAAATTCTTTTCTTTTTCATTCAATGTTATTACTCAACGTTAATTTCAATGGTTATAGCCACATGGTATATTGCAGTGGGAAAGTGAAAGTTTACCCAAATAACACATTTCTTCAGAATTGTGATATGTATCATCTATCATCACTAGGTCACGATTTATTCTTTTTTCATGGTGTATAAAATTTTTTTATTGATAACTACTCCTTTCATAATGAAGCATACCCGAAATTTGTTTCATTAGATTGATGTAGACATTGATAAAATGTGTTTTTACAGATAGTTTTTTTACACAATAATGACCAGATTTGATTTGGATTCAAACATAAAAAATACTTTTGTGCAAGACTTGTTTTTAATTTTAAATGCTTATACAATAAAGGACCAGATATAGGTTTTGATAATGAATGATTTTCATTGTTTAACAATTTCATTAGAGCTATTTCACGAAGTAAATCATCTTTCGTTGATGAACAATGAAAAAAATCTATATCAGGTTTATCCCAATTGTCTATAGGACTTATTCTTGTTAATAATAATTGTTGATTTGCTAATTGGTGTGCATTAAAGCGTACTAGATTAAGATCTATTGGAGTTTGATGATCATAATCTTCTGATAAACGACATTCAGTTATTTCTCGAAAATGAGGTATTGACATTTAATAAAAATTAGATAAAAAAAACAAATAAAATAAAAAGCGGTAAAAATTAAAATTAACTTTCAATTCATCTTTATCTCAAAGCACAGAAAACAAACAAATCATCGATTTACTTTGTATGTTTCATCTGCATATGCTCTAATTTGGTTAAATTATATATTGTCTAGTTTATCGATAGAATCACATTTGAAGAAAGTACATTAGGTATTTTATTTTCATTTCATTGCAAATATGTATTGTAACATTCCATTTAAACAGAATTTAACGTTTGTTTTTTTTTTCTATTTTCTAAAATAAAAAAAATTTCAAGATAAAAGTCATCAATCTTCTGTTTATTTAGTTGCACACACAAAAGTTTTTTTTTTTTCACTCAAATGAAACTGACATTTACAACAACAATCAGTAGACAAGGAAAAAAACAACAAGAAAGAAAATGTATATTATATATATATATATTTAGATTTGTCTATCATATCAAGGCATGGCCTAATCAGGAGAGGGGGCTATCGGGGGTGTGACATTCCCAATCAAGAAAACTTTTGGATTTCTTTCGGCAGAGACAAAAATTTTCCGCACGCTTAAAAAAAAACCAGCCCTAATCACATCGATCATCTTTTTTTCTTTGTTACTTATTCTATATATTGTCTCAATGAAAGAATTATTGATAGCTATTTTGGTTCTATAAGTACGCAACAAGTGTCTTGTATACATCAGCTATTTCATAATAGACACCATTTGTCACTAACCAAAAGGTTATCATTGTCAATTAATCAAAATTCGATGAAAAACAACAGACATTAGACATTGTTGGGAAAATAAAGTTCTTGCAGACAGCTGATCAATCCAAGTGCTTTGATAAGTGCATACAAATATTTTTCATTCCTTTTTTTTACATGTCCTGTTATTGATTAATGTTGTTCACTCTTATATGAGTACTAAATCGAAAAAAACGGAATAAACAATAGCAAAAACATGTTTATTTGGATTAACATAAAGAAAAGAATGAAAAATTTTATGGTGATTTCTGTGGGTAATAGAACAATATCACGATCATAAAGAAATCAAGAGAAAACAAAATGAAAAACACAAAAGATAAAACTCATGATTGTCTTGATGAAAAATGAGAACGATGTGCATATATACATATTCAAGAGCAAAATAAAATTATGTATTGATTTAATTGCGAATAACCAAATAGTATGTCGCCGACGAGACAAGTAGCACACCTACTCAGCATGCAAGAAAACAGGTCCGCCTTTTCGTTCTCTTCATTCAATGATGTGTGCTCTTTCTCGCTCTCTTCTTCGTTGTTTCTTTCCGTCTGATGTTTTGTTCTGTTTTTCCTTTTTCTTTACAACGATAATGTGTCTGCATGCAACAACAATCTATCCGTTCGTCGAGCACGCGAAAGAAGCAAGAGAAACGCATACACACTAAACTACTATCACTACTACACAAAAGACACGCAGTCATATACGCATTAAAGTCATTGTCGTCATTCTTTTGTTGTCTATTTTTATCATCTGTTTTCGTCGTCTATACCGTCGTTTCTATTTGAATATATTCTTTACTTAAGATGCATGTCCATAACTAAAACATAAGTTACGAATGAGTGAAAGAAACACATATTTATGTATACCAAATAAATCTATGGATATAACAGATTTTTATACAATTGAAACTCCACCATCATCATCAAGTAAAGATTCAACAGATGAATCATTTTCATCATTTCAATCAAGAAATAAATTTAAATTATCAAGAACAAATATCGAACAAAAACCTAATCATTCTAATATTTGTTCAACATTGAAATCTAATTTAATATCAAATTCAATTCCAATCAAAGATGATGAGGTAATCTTTCTTACTATTTTTAAAATATGAATTCTTATCATTAGTAAACAAAAAACATTTTGAAACCAAAAATAGAATATATACTTATAAAAATAACCTTAATTCATCATAATTTGACAGTTTATATGACGCCTACAATAATTATCAACTGTTGATAAGCTAAATTTCTTCAATAATTTTCTATATTCGTATGTCATAAAAGATATATTATGATAATCGTATCGATAAGATTATAATGTATATTGAAGTTTGTCTCTTTTTCTTCTTTTTTTTTCCAAGTTAGCTGAAAAACAATAAAAAAAAAACAATCAGAAGGTCAAACAATGAGTTTATCTATTACAATTCAATATTTTTTTATGATCGTAAAAAATGACTTATTACATTGGAAATAAAAGAAATAACATTTTTCGATAAGGATTACAATAATCCTTTTTTTCTTTATATAATAAATAACAAATATATGGTTTCTTATTTATTACTAGATTGATAGTAGACATTAAGTGAAAAACTCTTGCTAGAATTTACTTTCTACAAACAAAACTAGAATATTTCTTCTATTAATATAATAGAATATTATAAATTAAGTTAAGCTTATTATAAAACTATTTGTTTTTCAGTTTATATTAATAAATATATTGATAAAATGATTTAGAGAAATAGAACAAAAATATATTTAGGTCATTATGAGCTTTATGTATTTCGTCATTGTTGATGGTTTTTTTCTCTTTTCGGCATTAAATACTGATAAGATTCTCTGAAGAGAACAAAGAGCACAAAAACAATTTGTGAATGCGTAAATAGATTTTTTAACTTAAATTATTCTTTTGTAGTGTCGATTTATAATTAATTTTATACGACTTTTACAATGGTTGATGACCTTCATTCCATGTATGGTTCTTCAGATGAATGAAGAAGAAATATATAACCTTTTGTGTTGCAGGCTATAAACCTATTTAGATGAATAGGCATGTAATTCTATCATAATATGTTCATCGTTGTATCATATAATATTATATATATTAAATTAAGTTCAAAAAGTTGAATAAATTTTTGTTATGTATTTTTTTCAGTTTGAGAACTATGAATATAAAAAACAGTGTATGATTTGATTATTAGCGAACTAAAACGTTGTAAATAATTTACTCATTCATTATTCTACACATGATTTAGTATCTATAGAAGCAGATTGACATTGACAATACACATAGAATAAAAATAATAAAAAAAAAGCTTTATTGAATTAGCCGAAAATAGGACATAAGAAAAAAGAAGTAATATATTAGTTTTTATGTTTTTCCCATCAGACAAATATTGGCCGGTCTGTCACATATATTCAATATAAATACATGTTTTTTCCTTGATTAAACATATGTCAAAAAGTACTTAATTGTATCGACTAGGAACTATTATATGATTAAATATTTATTGTTTTTTGCTCATGATATTGAATCGAATTAATATCCGGTTCTTTAGCTAGCTGATATTGAGTTATAATAATTATTAGTTGACAATTTAATATATTTGAATTCTAAAAAATTTTCTTCTTTTAAATGTACAATTGTTTGTATTGAATGATGTTCTTGCTTTATGTGCAATGTATGTAGTTTAAAAGCACGAGTGTGCAAGTCATCATAAAAAAAAGAGAGAGAGAGCGAAAAAGAGCGCATCGATTAAAAAAAAATGCCTATATAAATCCTCTTGTCTTTTTAAATTCACTGCTAAAACATAGAGAGAAAGATAAAATTAGTCATTATTGTGAAAGAAGAGGTAAAAAATAAGAGCACTCATAGATACAAACTGCTGAGAAAATAACAAAGTATGGCGCTAATAATAAGATCGGTGAGTATTGTTGCCTAATTAATAGAAAGCAATGAGTTCTGATATAGATACAAAAAAAGTGCTTTTTATTCCGAACAAAAATAGATTACCTTTTCTTTCGAAACATAAGGTTTTTTTTTTTTTTTTCTAAAAAAAGAAAGTCTATGAATAAATTGCTTCTTAATTTTGCTCTTCAAGAGCTGTTTCGAATTTCAATTAATGAAAAACTTGCGTCTATGAAAACAAACGATTCTTCTATTTAATTTAACTTTTCGTTCTTCATATCTCCATTGATTAGAAAAAATATGTAGTAAAAATATATTTCTATTTAAAATCTAAAAAATATTTTATTAGTCAGTATTTTGAATTATTCATTAATATAATCCATACATTAGTTTTTTTTTTTAGTCTCGTATTATCATAAATTACATTGAAAACTAGGTTTGAATATATTATACGAATGAAATTTTGTTAGAAAGAAAATATATATTAAAAAAAAAAAAAAAAAACTAGTTTCACTACTTATTTCAACTTTCAAAGAATTTATTATTAATTTATTTTCGCAAATATATAAATTTAATGTATGCAGGACATTTTATTTTTCTTTTTTCAAAGATTCTTACCGAAAACAGAATACAATATTTAGTCATTAAATATTTATTTAATTTTAGTTTGATGTTTCATCGTATGATGATAATCATACACCATTACGTCGTACTCTCGGTAATACAAAATTAAAAACTCGTCAAGATGTTCGTCGTTTTCGTAAGTTTTTAAAACGTAATTATGATTTATCATCAATGGCACTTATTGATATTGATCCTGATACAATGCGTACTTATTTGATACATTATTTAACATCAATTCGAACACGTAAAGGTTCAAAATATGATCCTGAAACATTACGTTCGTATTATTTAAGTATACAAAGATTTTTAAAAGATTCAAATTATCCATATTGTTTACGCAATTCACCACAATTTGCTCAATGTAGAGATTTAATTATTCAAATGCGAAAAGAAAAAAATCAAATAAAAACACATGATTTATCATTATTAGAAACAACCGATATAAAAAATAAACGAACATCAACAAAAAAAATTTCAACAATAAAACAAGTTTATCAAACATCGATGCATTGTAATTCAGAAAAACAACAACAACAACAACAACAAATTCAACTTGATGATCAATCAAAGTAAAAGAAATAATTTTATTTCTTAATTATTTATTTCGTTTTCTTTTTTTTTCTTTTTGAAGTTCTCCAAAAACTACTGTTTCATTAGCATCCAATAATTGTCTTATATTAACAAAAGATCTTCTTC